CCCCCGCCACTGTCAGCCTGAGGTAGCCAGTCCATGAGATTGCCCATAACCTCTGGTGTAAAAAGATGAGCTGAGCCAATTGGATTCCTTCTCTTAAGAATTTAAATCAGAAAATCTTAGGAAATTAAGTCAATTAACTGTGGAAGCAGAAACAGAAAAATTACAATGTAGTGCTGGCTCTCAAACTTCAGTTTACCTAAGAATTACCTGGGCAGCTTGTTAAGAAAGCAGATTTCTGGGCCCCATGTCAAGACTGTGATACAGTAAAGCCTGGGAGTTGGACTCGGTCCCTAAGTTTTAACAAGTGTCTGGAGCAGTACTTACATGGGTGGCCTACAGAGCACGTGTGAGGTGCATATAGAAAGATCACCAGGACACAGCCAGAGGTAGGGGAAGGCCACAAGTACCTGCTAGAGAAGCACTAGAAGATGTGGGGCAGCTGAAGAGCAGAGAGAAGCCAGTGCTGACAGCAGAGCCCTGAAGACAAGAAGCCCACTGTAAGCCTCACCTCTGGCTCCTTTGGCCTGTGGGGCTCGTCTGACAAAGTCCCTGACTTCCTGGAACCAGTCAGTTCAGCTTTTCCTGAGTCTGGATCACATATATCCCTATCATACATCCCTCGTTGTTTCAGTAACATGACTGCAGCCCAAAGAGCTAAATCAAATTCATGTATCAAGAGAAAATTAGTTTCTCGCCCGGCCAGCATGGCTCAGATGTTGAGCACTGACCCATGATCCAGGAGATCGAACTTTGATTCCCAGTGGAGCACATGCCCAGGTTGTGGGTTCGATCCCCAGTGGTTGTGGGCTTGATCCCCAGTGGGGGGTGTGCAAGAGGCAGCTGATCAACGACTCTCTCATCACTGATGTTTCTCCCTCTCTCCCTCTCCCGCTTTCTGAAATCAATAAAGACATATTTAAAAAAAAAAAAGAGTAAATTAGTTTTTCTTCTATGAGAGGGAAATGTAAAATAGCCACAATACCTGCACTAAAAACTAAAAACGGGAACCATGGGCCCTAGCCAGGTAGCTCAGTTGGTTAGAGCATCGTCCCGATACACTGAAGTTGTGGGTTTGATCCCAGTCAGGGCACATACAAGAATCAACCAATGATGCATAAATAAGTGGAGCAATCAATCGATGTTTCTCTCTCTACCTTTCTCTTTCTAAAAATCAATAAATAAAAATTTTTTAAAAAGAATGGGAACCATCACCCTAGCCAGTTTTGCTCAGTGGTTAGAACATCGGCTCACGGACTCTCGGACTGAAGCGCCCTGGGTTCATTCCATTCTGGCCAAGGGCATGTACCTTGGTTGTGAGCTCCACCCCCAGCCCTGGTCGGGGCACGTGAGGAAGGCAACCAATCAATGTGTCTCTCTCACATCAGTGTTTCACGCTCACTCTCTCTCTCTCTCTCTCCCTTCCTTCCACTCTCTCTGAAAAGCAATGGAAAAAATATCCTCAGGTGAGGATTAAAAAGAAAAAAAATAAGGAAACCATCAAATCTTCCATTTCAGTGAAGACGCCTCGGTTTCAAATTACTGGCTCTTCCTGAGCTCCATCAAAGAGCCTCCCTGGTGGTCAATGGCGTTTGCCTCTGTGGACACAGGACATGGCCAACCAGGCCCCTCTACTGAAAACTCGCTTCTTTCAGAGCAGCAGAATCATTCTGTATAGCCCCCCTCCCCAGGACTACGTATATATAAAATATATATATATTTTTTTGGAAGAAAATCATTTTATTGTAATTGATTCACAAACAGTAATATCACAAAAGCCGGTTTAAGAAGGCCACACAAACATCTGCCCAGCCCCAAACTCAATACCATCTCAATGAACTTCTACACAGCAAGAACACTCTTCCATTGCAATTCTAAGGCAAGGAAACTTTTTTTTTTTTAAATATATCTTTATTGATTTCGGAGAGAGGAAAGGAGAGGGAGAGAGAGAGATAGAAACATCAATGATGAGAGAGTCATTGATTGAGCCCACAAGCGGGCATGTGCCCTGACCGGGAATCAAACCCCAATTGCCTGGATCCTAGGTCGATGCTCAACCGCTGAGCCACGCCCGGCCAGGCGAGGCAAGGAAACTATTAATGATAAAGGAGAGTTAACTTGTAGTTTTATACTTTCACTATCAATTACATTTTTATACTAAATTAATGTGGATATGAGACATGATTTTCCATTTCTTCAATGCAAACTTCTTGATTAGGCAAATCCATTTGCAAATTTGCACTGTTTCAGCACCTTGCTGAAATGCCCACAAAGCTTAAGGTCATCCTGGTTCTGGGCACACTCCAAAAACTGTTTTATCTTATAGTGGCATGGGCCAAACTGCTGCTGCTGGTATGCCAGTTGAGTTCCCTAAGGCTCCTAGTAAGTAATGTCGGGCCTTGAGGGCTCAGCATTACTTCCTCCACTGATGCCCCCAGTGATGGCATGGCCTAACGTGTGGCTGACAGCAGAGCCCACAGCTACACCAGCTGCAGTGGTTGCCATCTGGCCATCAGACCTGGCTGCTGGGGTGCAGCAGCAGGTGAGCCAATAGCAGATGGTGCAGCCGGTGCTGGTGGCTGAGCTGCTGGTGCTGGCCTGGGTGCAGCTATTATCTGAGGTGCCCGTCTGGCCAGAGGGGCCATGCGGGAGAGGTGCAGCTCCACGCGGCATCTTAACTGCGCAGATCGGAGTCTGCCGGACTACATATGTTTTTGTAAATAAGCTCAAGTGGGGAATGTGAGCCGAGGGAGAGTAAAGATTGCAGAATAACAACAATGTTATTACAGTCAACACACAGGAGTACTTGACTGGTGAACTGCAACTCTGCCTCTGTGCTATCAGCAGCAGGTCTAAGTGGAGGGGTCCATCAGTTCAAACAGTGTCCACAAGATTACAATAAATTATTTATTTATGAGAAGCACTGCTTTTCTTAACAGACTAAAGTTTCCATCATTTCTTGTAAGACAGCATCATGGGGTGTTGCAGATAATGTTCTCAAAAATAACCTAGAGGGGTACTAAGGGTAAACTGTATCGGGGTGAGTTGTTCATGACGTGCCTACCAGTGCAGATGCCAAGGTGAACAAGAGCAGGAGCAATTTTATAAGGTCCAAGAGAATGCAGTTTAGCTTACAGATTTCTGAGAGTTGGGCTGAATCTAAGAGTAAGGCTTCCGGACAGGTTGTCTGCCTTGTAAGCAGCACCTATTAAATATTATGTCTTTAACTCCTGATAAGACTCTGATGCTCAACTCTTTGTAAATATTATTTCTCTTCACTTCTAATGATAATTCTTTGGAGAGCAAACAATTCAAGGCTGCATTCCATGTTAAGATAAGTTGAGTTTAGATCCTGTGTTGTCAATTTAAGGGCAGCAGGTAGTCTGCTTTCCATTTTTATATCTTTCCTATCCTGTATGACAAAGCTACTTGAAAGAACTGTCCATGTTCAAGGTCTCAGTTCCTCACCATGCACGCGCTCCCAAATCTACACAATCTGGCTTCTGTTCCCATCATGCCGCTGCAATCACTCTTGCTAAGTCACTAAGAACCTCCGTTCTGCCTCTCAGACATTTAACACCCACCTTCTGCCTCTCCAGCCCCTGAAACTCTCCTCTCAACTTCTGCAATACCCCTTTCCAGCTGCTGAGGCTGGCCCTCTGCAGAGCTCCACCTCTGCTCGCCCTTGAATACCTGTTTCCTCAGGACTCTCTGTCCTCAGCTCTGGCTTTTCTTACTCCACACAGTCTCCCTATGGTCTCACCTACCTGGTAGACTCGATTACTACTTATCAATGTGGGATTCTAAAATCTCCGGGTAGCCTTTATCCCTCTGCAGCTCCACTACCATCCATCCACTGTGTACCAAATGTCTCCGCCCTTTGCCACACAGGCACGCCAAGTCCACTGTGACCAAACCTGAGACCACCTGCTCTCTTCTTCCCCACCCCAACCTGCTCCCCCTACAAACCAGAGACCCAGGCTCCTCCCTAGACGCCACCTCTCTCCACACCTGCCGCTCAGCCATCACCAGCCTGTCACTTCCACCTCCCTGATACCCCAACCCCAGGGCGAATCTAGCATCTACTCCAACCCCAGGGCGAAAGTGCAGGCTCTTGCCAGCTTTATGCCTGGGATACTCAGAAAGCCTCATGACCTCCCTGCCTCCAGAGTGACCCACCCCCCAGTTTACCCTCCACACTGCTGCCAGAGTTGTCTTCCTGAGTTGGACGTCAGGCCTCTTTACAGGAAAGCTTCTGGATGTAAGTTCAACTCCTTGCCTTCCTGAACTAGATGCTACTTTCTCCAGCCTCCCCTGCCTGTCCTTCCCACACAGCTCCTCTAATCTGTTATACTAAACTACTTCCATTTTCACGTATGCACCCTGCTATTTGGCCCCTCTGCACTTTCGAAGGTGCCTCTCCTCCTGCATAGTGCGCGGAGCTCACGAGTGTGGGGTCTGCAGTGACGAAGGACTAGGCTGCAGCTCTGCTCGGCACCAACTTCACCTATCGTTCACTGAGCTTCAGCCATAGTCTCCCTCTAGGAAAATGAGGAAACCCTCCCTACCACACAAGTTAAGAGAATTAAAAGTATGTAAAGTGCCCACCTCAGCATGTTGCAGATGGTAAGTGCTCAATAAATACTGACCAGCACTTTATTTCTATTTTTATTTAGATAACTCACACTAAAGCTTCAAGATTCAGCTAAAGCATCATCTCTTCAAGAAAACCTGACCCCTGCCTTGCCTGCGTGGCTCAGCAGTTGAGCACTGACCTAGGATCCAGGAGATGGAGGTTCAACTCCCGATGGGGCACATGCCTGGGTTAGGGTCTTGATCCCCAGTCAGGAGCATGCAGGAGGCAGCCAATCAATGACTCTCTCATCATTGATGTTTCTATCTCTCTCTCCTCACTTCCTCTCTCTGAAATCAATAAAGATATATTTTTTAAAAATTAAAAAAAAGAAAACCTGACCCCTTACGTTGGCTTGGATATACTTTTTCTTTACTTTCATGACACTCAGAATGGACCTCCACAGAAGCACTTACCGTACTGTGCTGGTTTGTTAGGCCCATCTACACAGACCTCCTAAAAGAGGGAACTTTTTCAACCTTGTTTCTCCAGGGCCTACCAGAGCAACTGACCCACACACAGTAGATGAGGTAGCATTTCGCCACAGAACCAGCCAAGCAGGCTGTGTGTAAACACCTGCTCCCCTGCACTGAGCTGAGTAGCTTTCATCAGAGGGGACACTGGTAGAGGCCTGCCTGGCAGGAGGCCCTCCCTGCTGGGATATAACAGCAGTGCCCTGGGTACAGAAACATAGTTTCTGAACCAAAAATACAGCCTCTTCCTGATTTCAGTCAAGAAGCATCATAAAGCATCAAAAATACAAATCACATCTAATCATTTATAAATTGTCTTTTTGGAACAGAATTACATTCCATAATTAAATTCTACAACACACTGAAAAACCAAAGACATGTCACTAACTTTCAGACAAGATAAAAATTCCTCAGCAGAAAATTTCCTACCGCTTGGTGGGTTTCCATCACCAGTCAATTCTCAGTAGGGAAGCCACAGCAACAACAAACACAAGCAACTCAGACTTAACTGGGAATAAGAGTTTCAGGTATGAAAAACAATGTGCTTTGGCACCTAAGCCAAGAACCCTCAGCCAAGCTCAAAAGCCAGAGATGTCAACATCATTTTACTAAAACTGAAATTTCAAAGCTAAGAGCCAAAAGGAGCAACTGCTTGAACTTGTCCTACAGAATGGTCGAGAAAATCGAGTAAGAAAACGTAGCAAGTGCCCGGTGAACCATAGTCACACACACACACACACACACACACACACACACACGTTACCACCGTCAGCATTCTTATAGCATCACATCTGAGAATTCATTTCTCCCAAGAAAACCTAAATTTTGTGTATACCAATAACTCATCTTACCTATTTTCTTTTTTTGTTGTCGGCCAGCTGACTCTGTTATTGTTTCCTTCTTCTTTTCCACTGTAAACAACATAGTAACACAGTAAAAATTAATTGGGTATTATGCTAAAGAAACAAAGGCTGCTTTACTGAAGCCAAACCAATGGAAGCAGCTGACAAGAAAGTTACACCCTGACTTTGACTGCGATCATGATTAAGTCAACTGGTCTGCTCCTACACCTGCTGACAGTAAAAGGTGGACACAACATTCTAATACTAAAAGAGCAATATGATAAGCATCGTAAATCAAATACCCATAAAGGATTGTAGAACACAATCATAATCTAAACAATGAGTTTTCAGACCATCAGCGGAGGGTGATTGCCTCAGGCTGAGTCCAAGCACATTTTCAAGTTCTGTTCTCATATAACTATAGCTAATTATAGTTACATTCTCATAGTCACTACAGAAGATAGGACTCATTCATTCAGCTATTGGCTGCCTACCTAAAAGGCACCGTTCTGGCTAGATAAAAAGATAAACATGATCCATCCCTCTAAAGAGCAATCCATTGAGGGCAGATAATTAAATAACAATTATAGGACAGAAAATAGGCAAGATACACATATGCAGAAGGTAGGGAAAGCAGGGGGGCCAAAAAAAACTAAGACCAACTATTTTTTTTTAGTTTTCTTTTAATATTTTTTTAAAATTGATTTTAGAGAGAAAGGAAGGGTGAGGAAGAGAGAACATTGACGTGAGAGAGAAACATCAATCAGTTGCCTTCTGTAAGCGCCCCGACTGGGGCTCAAACCCCCACCTAGATATGTGCTCCGACTGGGAATCGAACCCGAGGCCCTTCCGTGCCCAGGATGATGCTCCAACCAAGCCGCACCAGCTGGGACAGACCAATGTTTTTTTTTTAATCCTCACCCGAGGATATTTTTTCCACTGCTTTTCACAGAGAAAGGAAGGCAGGGGGAGAGAGAGAAACACGGATGTGAGAGAGACACATCGATTGGTTGCCTCCCACACGCACCCCAGCCAGGGCTGGGGATCAAGCCTGCAACTGAGGTACGTGTCCTTGGCTGGAATCTAACCCGGGACCCTTCAGTCCACGAGCTGATGCTCTAACCACTAAGCCAAACTGGCCAGGGCAAGACCAACTTTTTTTGATGCGTATCAATTAACAAGATGATTGAATAACCGTAAGCTTTTGAAGAGAAATAGTGTAATATATTTATATTTTATAGTTACTATCTTTAATCCCCCAGGAAAGGACTAAGAATAGACATGTCAACAATGACCTTTACTTGCCCTAGCCAATTTGCTCATTGGTTCGAGCGCTGTCCCCTGGACTGAAGGGTCCCAGGTTCAATTCCGGGCAAGGGCATGTATCTCAGTTGCAGGTTTGATCCCCAGCCCTGGGTTAGATTCTTGTGCTCATCTGATCCTTGGCATTATTTGGGGAGTACTGACATTATCCTAAAAGCTGCCCTGCTGTGTTCGAGCAGGAGGCAACCAATCAATGTGTCTCTCTCACATCGATGTTCCTCCCTCCCTCTCCCTTTCTCTCTCTCTCTCTCTCTCTCCCCCCTTCCAATCTCTCTGAAAAGCAATGGAAAAGATAGCCTCAGGTGAAGATTAAAAAAAAAAATTACAGCTATGGAAGCTTTGCCTGGCAACTGCATTACTTTAAATTTGGGTGTAAAGTGAAAACAACTTATTTCTATAATGCAGATACTTAAGAGACAAAGCAATTAGAGTGGACACTAAAGAAGTTCATAATCTATTTATGTAAATAATTAATGTATGAAAATATTCATCACAACACACATGAAGCTCAATGTGATTTGTGTTTCAGTAGGCTCCTCACTGACATATGTGACATGAAAAGTGTATATGGACACAATCACACGATGGCCAACTAGCGTATGGTCACAGCAGAACAAGTTCTCACAAAGAAAACAGGTCAGTGTGGATGGAGCAGTGTGAGTGGCAGGGACAGCATATTAGGGTGGTAAAGGAGACACTGTGGGCCACTGGAAGAATTTTGGGTTCTCCTTCAAGTGGAAATGGGACACCATCATAGGGTTATGAGTAGAGGAGGGACTTGATCTGACAAGCTTTTGAAAGGATTATTCTGCCTGTTATCTTGGGAACAGACTATAGGGAGACAGAAACACTTGTTGGAGGCTATTGCAATAATCATGCGAAAGATGATGGTGGCTTAGACCACGAGAGACACCAGTGAGGTGATGAAAAGCAGTTGGAGTCTGGGTGTATCTGAAGGCAGCCCAACAGCATTGGATGCAGACTGAGAAAAGGGTCAAGAGCACCACGCAGGGATGATGGCAAGTGGAAGGTCGGAGCTGCCACAAGCACAGGCATGAAAGCTACCAATGAGGCAGGCTTGGAGGCCAGGAACAAGTGTTCGGTTTGGATGTGTTGGGTTTGAGATGCGTATTAGCTACTGCAGTGGATCAACAAGTTGAATATATGAATGTTGCATTAAGAGAGGGGTAGGGACATAANCTTAAGAGACAAAGCAATTAGAGTGGACACTAAAGAAGTTCATAATCTATTTATGTAAATAATTAATGTATGAAAATATTCATCACAACACACATGAAGCTCAATGTGATTTGTGTTTCAGTAGGCTCCTCACTGACATATGTGACATGAAAAGTGTATATGGACACAATCACACGATGGCCAACTAGCGTATGGTCACAGCAGAACAAGTTCTCACAAAGAAAACAGGTCAGTGTGGATGGAGCAGTGTGAGTGGCAGGGACAGCATATTAGGGTGGTAAAGGAGACACTGTGGGCCACTGGAAGAATTTTGGGTTCTCCTTCAAGTGGAAATGGGACACCATCATAGGGTTATGAGTAGAGGAGGGACTTGATCTGACAAGCTTTTGAAAGGATTATTCTGCCTGTTATCTTGGGAACAGACTATAGGGAGACAGAAACACTTGTTGGAGGCTATTGCAATAATCATGCGAAAGATGATGGTGGCTTAGACCACGAGAGACACCAGTGAGGTGATGAAAAGCAGTTGGAGTCTGGGTGTATCTGAAGGCAGCCCAACAGCATTGGATGCAGACTGAGAAAAGGGTCAAGAGCACCACGCAGGGATGATGGCAAGTGGAAGGTCGGAGCTGCCACAAGCACAGGCATGAAAGCTACCAATGAGGCAGGCTTGGAGGCCAGGAACAAGTGTTCGGTTTGGATGTGTTGGGTTTGAGATGCGTATTAGCTACTGCAGTGGATCAACAAGTTGAATATATGAATGTTGCATTAAGAGAGGGGTAGGGACATAAATTTATTTATTTATTTATTTATTTATTTAAAATATATCTTTATTGACTTCAGAGGGAGGGAGAGGGAGAGAAAAAGATAGAAACATCAATGATGAGAGAGTAGTCATTGATTGGCTGCCTCCTGCCCGCCCGACTGAGTATCGAGCCACAACCTGGGCATGTGCCCTGACATTGGAATTGAACCTTGATCTCCTGGATCCTAGGCCAATGCAAAACTGCTGAGCCACGCCTGGCTAGGCGGGACATAAATTTAGAGGTCACTGGCAAACAGAGCACACAAATGAGTTCACCACTGGAGTGAGTGAAAAAATTGGGGATCGCCCCAAAAAACAGGAGGTCAAGAAGAGGAACCAACAAGAAAATTGTAAAAGAATGACCAGCCAGAGGAAAACAAGACTAAGGAGTGTCCTGGAATCGAATGAAGAAAGTGCTCCAGGGTCTCTGGCCTGCACTACTCGAAGCATGGAGGTACCTTCCCCAAACAGGGAAATCCTGACAGAGGATCACACCTGTGACACCTGTAAAGCTAATGAGCCTGGTTTTAAATATGTTGGGGTGCCCAGCCGGGCGTGGCTCAGCGGTTAAGCATCAACCTAGGGATCCAGGCGATCAGGGTTCGATTCCCGGTCAGGGCACACGCCCGGGTTGCGGGCTGCAGCCAATCAGTGACTCTCCATCACTGATGTTTCTAGCTCTCTCTCTCCCTCTCCTTTCCTCTCTCTGAAATCAATAAAGATATATTTTAAAAAATAAATAAATAAATATGTTGGGGTGCATTGTCAATAATAAATAAGTGAAGGAACAGTAAGCTGTAATTTTAAAAGCTTGAGTTTGTCTTCCAACTCTTTATTTGCTCTGTGATGTTAGTATGTCATTCAACCTTGCTAAGCCTCGATCTCCTTTTCTACGAAGGATAATATTCATACAACTAACCACAAATGGTTACGTGGATCAAATGACTCGTTGTAAAAAAGAAAGCATCAAACTCTTATGAAGACATAAAGAAAAGTCGCAGAATTCAGAAAGTCCTGCGGAAATTCCTACTTTATTTGAAAGGCAACAAACTCTACCTGTTCTTAACCTTTTTGTCAAACGCACCTTCAACCACCTGAAACATGACTTATCCACTAGGACACCACTTACCTTGATACTGATCATAACGACCTGTTATTCTCAAACACACCTTAGTCCTTAAAATGCCCCCCTATTTTTGCACCTATGGCACTTCATTTGTCTGGAAATCCTTCCCCCATCTCATTCTCCACCCAAATCCTAACCACCCACAAAGGACTGCAAGGCCACAATGGTTTCCACAGCATGTAACAGGTACCTTTCACATCACTGACATTGTGCATAAAAGTCATATTCCTAATTAGACTTCAGCTGGATTCGTCTCTGCGGCCCTATAAGGTTTTCGTGTGGCTGGTGCTCCTCAGACAGTCACTGTGAACAGCGCTTCATGAGCTTGACCCGCTGCAACTACTCCTGAAGGAAGCTGCCATACTCACATTTCTTACTCTGTTTTTCCACTTCCGCCTTCAGCCTCTTGTACTTGTCTGTCCTGTAAACCAGGACCCAGGTGATACCTGCAACAGAAAGAGCAACGTGGCCATGGAGAAATGTTTACAACGGTCCCAGCAATGTCATTAGTGGCCACTGCTGGGTAAGAAGGAATTTCAGCTCTTTTGCTTTATAGGTGCCCGTAGTTAAAACGACTGACTCTTCAAGCAAGGCGTCTCCGCAGACACGCGGGGACCCAAAAAACCGCAGTGACCAGAGACCGGCCGCCGCGCGCACGACCCCGCGCCCAGCGGCGCACCAGTCGCCCGAGGCTCCCCGGGGTAGAGGACACGCGCCCTCGAGCACGCAGGGCCGGCGACCTGGCCGTGGCGGCGCGGGGACCCTGCCTGAGACATCCCCTCGGGCACAGCTCCGGCGGCCGGGGAGCAGCGCCTCACCCTCGGCGAGCAGAGCCGTGCACACGGAGATGAAAACGATGAGCAGCGTGTCCGCGAACATGGTGCTCATCCTGCACTTCCGGCTCTGCGCTCCCACCCCCGAGGGAGGGAAGCTCCGCAGCCCGAAAAGTGAGCGAAAGACGGTTTTCCTAGACTTCAGGACCACAGGGCGCCACAGAGACTCTGACAGCTCGGGCGCCACACTTCCGCTTCCGGGGCGCAGCGCAGGAAGAGCTCTTGCCCGAGGGGCCCTGACCGCGCGAACCCAGCGGAAACCCAGCCGCGCTCGGGCGGGTCTCGCGAGAGGTGAAGGTCGAGCCGCCGGGTCGGGGCGTTGGCGGGACTGGGCGGGGAGCGCGGAGCCGCAGGTTCGGGGCGCGCCTGCTCCGAG